ACCTTGGTAAGATATTTCAACTTTATGAGTAGATGTTATTACGCTCATACGTGAAGGTGCTTAAATCTTGGGAAAAAGAAAGTGATGAGAGTATTTACAATGTTTAATTTTGAAAATATGTAGTTAGGTACATGTCCAGATAGAAATCGTCTTTGTCAATAAAATATTTATTATGCCGCATCACGATTAATATGACGCATAAAAAGGCAATACTCATTGATGGTACCGGCAGATGGCCATTTAACAATAGATGCTCTTTCAATAATAATACCATCGGGTCGTGATGTGATGGTATTCTTTTATTAAAATGACTCAAGAAATCTCAGAATATACGGACAGATTTCTTACCGTATCGTGGCATTCCCAAGACCCCAAATAAAATTTCGTTAATAAATTAGAATAAAATTACTAATTAACAAAGAAACAGCCATAAAAATCACCACAAATTGTTCTCAGAAATGAGATTGGCGCCCGCAAAAAGTGCTCTTACTCAAACGGTCCCATTTGTTCCCTGAATTGCCCGGAATGAGGGTCCCTTGGCTGAATTATAACTTATTTTTCAAACCATATGACAAATATCGCGTCTATAGGTATTCGTTCGTATCTGGGAATGACGTTGTTTTAAAGATAATGTTAAGTGATCTTTAAATTACTAGTATGAGTTAAGATTAGGTAGGTATCAGCTTGGGGTATAATGTTATCAGGAGAAATGAACATACACGTATGTGTAGAAACACTAATTAAGCACTAAGTAGATAAAACTAATTAGGCAGGCACATTAAGTAAAATATCAATTGGAATAAATAAATTGGAAGGTAAAAAATGATATAAACAAAACATTTTACACAAATTGGGAAGAATGAAGACGTTGATTTAACCGGAGAATTAGAAGAAAAACATGCAAACTTACCTGTTAGTAGGAACAGTAGAATTAAACGCCGCATGACGGAATGCTTACAGGACCAGCGTGGAACGTTTACGCGCGTGTGTTTACCGGAGCCATCGTCAACAGTCCCGTCAGTCAACTATTTAGCCAATGTTTACGCGACTCAGCTGACGTCTTCGTCTATTATGTTCGCCAATTAACCACACACTCACGCACTGCGGGATCCGCACGCTGCAGTGTCAACGGCCACGAGCTTACGAGAAAAACTAGACACTGCGAAAGTTGTCCTTCAGGGAAGCAACCGGAACTGTCCCACGTTAGCAGCTGTCGTCCAATATATTACTCATTCATCTTGCCAAATACCAAGTGCGGAAACTAGACGAGAGTCTCTTCTGTGATGAAAACATCACACATGGCTAGAGCGGCGACGAAAGCTCTCTCGCGCGCGATCGCAGCGCACGACGGCCGAGTCGCGAGTTGCGTGAGTGGGCCGGCAGCGGCCGGGGGACGGGGGACCACGCCTGCGCACCGCGCCCGCACCGCACCACCTCCAGTATTGACCGACGACGCCTCCTTCCTACATTTCACATCCTTAACTAGGTACTACGAATTCTCCTTTGAAAAATCCCCTAATTCCATCCCTCTGATTGAGATAGGCCACGTCTATAGCCCATGAAATAGGCGCACCTAATATTTACAAGCAATAAAATTTAAAATTACATTAAGTATATTATTTGCAATATTGTTTTTGCCAACACTAAAACTGCCTAGCGTTGCCGAGATTTAAATCCCAGGCGCTCAGAAGACTGGTGAAAGTTATACACCAAAGTTAGCGCGAAGGGCGGAGATACGTAGGTATTTTTGATTTAAATAGCAAATTCAATACTTTTAATTATTATCTGGAAGATAAGGTTCACTTTACTTTATTCTTTAAAAAATAGTGTATTGCCAAGTTACATAATATTCATTAGAGCTCCCTAGTTCCAAGGAGGACGATTTAAAAAAATTGCCGACTAAGTACTTAGTATAAAAGTTGTAGAAAGTAATAGAGCTAAAATTCCAGCTCATCAATTACCGTCAGAATTTGATAGATTTCAAGGACGAAAAGAAAAAAATAAGCGTGTCTGAATTTTACAACGCATAGTAAAAAGGTCGTGACTGATCTGGTCTGGTCGACAGCCTACTTGGACTGCAGCCTATACGCAGTTGATGACGTCAAACTAAGTTGGCAACGAATAGTTTCCCGCAAAGCGAATTAACTTGGGATGTAGAGCTCTCAAGGATGACATTAAGCTATGTCCTATAAACGGACGACGCTATGAAGCTAACTGCTCCCCCACTTACTATTCAGACGGCAGTTATTTGGATTGTCTACTGAATATAATTTCAACTATTAACTTAAGTATTTGAATGCTTCGTCTACACGTGTACTGAGCTATTACTCGGTCAGTCAGACCTAGCCAAGTCTAATTAGCCCAGCAATAAAATGAATTAAGGTATGACTTATTATTGAAACCTATTGAATCCTCCTAACTTGAAGAGATATAGATATATAGAGATTTGACTAGATACCTAGTTAAAAAGACATGTCTTAGTGTTGGGCATTGAAAATTAGTCCCAAGATAGTCGAAACTTGTCAACGTGGAACATTATCCATTAATATCAACATAGATTGATATCCAAGGTTTGAGCTTAAGGCTATAATTATACTATGCAATTGCGTTAACGACTACAGAACTAATGAGACAAGAAGACAGACAATAGAATTAAGAGCAAATACGAAGTAAATATTTAAAAAAAGTTTTTCTTTAAGAGATGATATCAGGTGAAAGATTAGCTAAGAGGAAATGAGACGTGGTCTACTTATTGAAGGACAAATTGAATGGTTTTTAAAATGTATCGATAAATAGCCCCAGGCAGAGAGAAGTCACGTAAACTATTGTATTAAACGTTGACTTAAGTACCTAGTTAAGCTGTCCTCGGAGACTTTTGGCATTGCATACCGAATACTTATTTTTTACCTTAGTCAAAAAGCAAGGAGTAAACCCTAGCGAAAATTGGATGACGTAATATTGGCTACAGATGAGTTCTTTGCAGAGAAGAGCAAAAATCCACTTCTGTGGTCTGGTCTGGTCTTCTATTGGTTCCAATAGAAAAAGACTAAGTACTTAGATGTCAAAAATCAAAGAATACTACTTAAAGCATATTCAAGCAGACCGAAACGTCCAATACTGAGGTTTGGTGTTATGTTTAATTGGTAGGTTCATTGGAACCGACCAATCAGAGGGTCTTATTATGAGTTTCTTTTTTGTTTAAAGTAATCGAAACGAGACTGCGTTCGGAGCTCTGATTGGTTTGTTCAATGGAATCGGCCAATCACAGCGCCGAACGCGTACTCGTTACGATTACTTTTAACGTGAAACAAACTTGTACTAAGGCCTCTGAGGCCTTAGTACGAGTTTCTTTCGGCTACGAGTTTCTTTCGGCGCTCTCATTGGCCGGCTGTAATGAACTAACCAATCGGAGCGCCGAAGGCAGACTCGTTTCGATTACTTTCAATGTGAAATAAACTCGTACTAAGCCCTCAGAGCGCCGATCGCGTACTCGTTTCGATTACTTTAGACGTAAAACAAACTCGTACTTAGCCCTCTGATTGGTCAGTTCCAATGTACCAACCAATCAGAGCGCCGAACGCGGTCTCGTCTAAATTACTTTAAAGTTTTAAACATATAATAAACTCGTAGGCCTCTGAACTACGATCAATCTCCACGCTTGGCCGGGTTGGAGATTGTAGTTCAAATTTTGGGAGCGTTGCTATCCGGTCTCTGTCATTATGTAGGTAATATAACGTCAAACTTTCAAGAAAATAGCGTATTCCTTTTAAAAATGTAACGCACTTGTTACTCCTTTGGTGTTGCGGGTTTTCATAGGCAGCGCTGAACGTTTATCATCATAGACTGCGTATTTGGATTCCCTACATCACACAAAAAAAATATAGTCCGTTACTGCCAATTTCAATAAACTATCACAATCCAAAATTGACATTAGTTGTATGGAGTTTCTGTCAAAAATCGATCTTAATCCACAGATATAAGTGTGGGAGAGCCATGCTTCGGCACGAATGGGTCGGCTGGACCGGAGTGATACCACGGCCTCACAGAAAACCGACGTGAAGCAACGCTTGCATCGTGTTTCGTCGTGTGAGTGAGGTTACCGGAGGCTCAATTACTCTCCCCTTCCCCAATCTCCCCAATTCCTAAATCCCCAACGATCCTCAAAGTCCTAAGCCCCAAAAGGCCGTGTTCCAGGTGTCCATGGGCGACGCCGATTGCTTACCATCAGGTGATCCGTCTGCTCGTATACCGGCTTATGCCATAAAAAAAATTGGATTCAGATATGATTTAGAAATTGGCAGTTAGTCGGGGCCTACGACACCTGCAGGAAGAGAAGGGGTAGTGACAAGTTATTCACTCGGTCCATCATCATACGGCTCCAGTAGTGCATAGTAGGAAGTATCTGAAGTTTTGATATTCGCCTCTATCCTCATTGGCGTTACGGCTTATATCCTGAAAGCCTCAGGCTGAATAAGTTACCAAGCAGTTCCGTATGATAACGTTAGATGGCGCTGTTATAAAAATTGCATGAGTATTCGTGGATTTTTCCTTCCTGTTATTCTTTGTATGCAAAAATGGATGAAGGAATTCCATAAAAAATCCGTTACCTTGAAATGAACGAATTTGTCTCTTATGTACATAGTTGCTTGCAAATCGGCGTTACGCCTTTATCAATCCTTGAAGTAACATTTCAATTAAGAAATATTACTCATACTGTTAAAAAAATATAAAATTAACTTAATTTTCACAAGACTATAGTATAATTTTTATTCTACTTTCATGCAATATTACCTAATTCAAAACCTGACCATATATTGGCAAGTATTTCTTAATCAATTCATGATAGATATATACTTACACATAAATAGATAAAATTTCTATTACCACATACATAGTACCAATTAAATAAAAACCAGTAGGTCCAATATTTTTTTTAATTCATATCAACAACTATAGGTACTACAAACTAAATACGACCTTAACAACTACGATATAAAGTACTAATTAGATTGCAACATTTGCCTTGCTAGTTTTTCCTTAGTCCAATTTTGTATGAGTTGTTTTCTGATTTCAAATGCTATTACTGCTGTTGCCATTCCAGTGTTCAAACTGTCTACGCCTCTTTGTAAGGGAATATTTAGTCTTACGCCATTTTTTGTTGTTGCTAACCTGAAAAGCCAATGGTTCAAGATAAAAAAAAAACATTCAACCAAATCATTGCTTTATAATGATAGTATTAATTTACTTCATCATTAACAAGTTTAGTGACTGCATATGACTGAAGTGCTGGTTACAAGAGACATAATATTATACATTTTAGAAATTATATTTCAGAATTCTTATACTCAAAATTAGAATCTCTGAAAATAACTCTAGCGTATGGTGTCACTATTAATTTCATAGAAGTTTTAATGAAACTGTAAGTACACTTTTTTATTCTGTATATTTTTGCTAAATTCCTGTCTGAGGTCTACTGGAAGAAATTCCAACAGAAAAAGTAGCACACATGTACTTGAATTTTATATATGTATTGGCTTCTGTGCTGTTTCTGTGTACTTACATGAATTATTAAATAAATCAATTTAATCTTTGATGTTATGTTGTTAATTAATACAAGATAAACTTACGAATAACTATAATGACTTATTCCCTCAGTTTCTCCACCAATTATTAAGGTGGTATGAGGTAAAGTGGAAAAATCCACACCATAATATGGCAATACTGGCAACTGATTTCTTGCAAAACTTTCTACTTCTTCACTGTTATCATCATTTGTAGTTGTAGTGTTGCTATCAGCAACAAATATGGAAGTGTTTTGTTCAAGATGAGTAGAGATTTCATTCCAGTCTAGGGAATGGTATATTGGGAGCCTGAAGTGAGCTCCAGCTGCACTTCTTATGACCTTAGGGTCCCATACATCCACACAACCTGAAACAATTAATTGTATTAACATAAGTAAAAATTAACAGTAATAAAATTGTAGGATAAGTGTAGGAGACCCATGCTTTGGCAACCGGAGTGATACCAAGGCTGGGCAGAAAACTGACATAAAACAACACTTGCATTGTGTTTCATCATGTGAGATTACCGGATGCCCAATTACCTTCCTCCCCAATCCCCAACAATCTTCATATTCCTAATCCCTAAAAGGCAGATAATTTTTAACACCTCTAGTGTTCTGGGCGACGTCAATTGCTTACCATTGGGTGATCTATCTACTGGTTAACAGCTTATACCATTAAAAAAAGTATAAGAATTCACCAGGCATGAAAAGTGTTAGTTAGTGTTTTTTGAGTAGAATATTAGTTGCATATTGGCCGTGATTGAATGCGATACAGACACAACATTATCAACAAACAAAGCTTGGTTAACACTAACATCTTTTTATTTTCATATTAACTATTTAAACATTACTTGACATGTAATTTGCAAACTTTTAGTACTTTTATCCATAGACCTCAACATTTCTAATCAAACAACATAACATTTATTCAATAACCATATTTAAAAAAGAAATACCTTTTGATAGTAGAACTTTCTCACAGCCAGCACCCACAGCCACACGCAAGATGGCTCCCAAATTCCCCGGCACTCTAATGTTGTCACAGATAAAGTGAAGTGGTAGAGGTTTTGATAACATCTTTACTTTCTCTGGAGTTGGAGTTTCAAATATACCTGAAATTTAATAATAAAGATATCATTCAAATTTAATAATAAAGAAATTTAATAATAAAGATATCATTCAAATTTAATAATAAAGATATCATTCAAATTAATTTCTTATGCACTATCCTTTACACATTACTACACTAAACACACTTGTTTATAAGATAATTGTGGGAACAAATAGAAAATTGTTTTTGGATATTATTATGTTTCCATTGTTTAAAACTGTAATACAATATTTAGTTGTTCATTTAGTTGTTTTTTAATATAAAAAGTGTAAGGAGCAGCAAACTATATAAAAGTAATGAGACGTAATTATGTTTTTCTATGTTTACTTACCAATAATACCTGGACTTGTTTCAACATCAGACCAGAGCTGCATCTCCTTATAAGATACTTTGTAGAAGACAACACCAGTTTTAGGCAAAAATGGTTTTAATCTATACAGTTCATCTGTTCTACTGAAGATGACATACTTTAGATTACAGTTAGCCTCCAACCCATCTGTGATGAGTCTCCAACCTTCCACCAATGTCTGTCCAGACCTCAATCTTTCTTTTTTTGATTTCAGCTTCACTAACATGGTGCTGAAAGGACAATAAAGATTAGATTCTATATTTAAATTGATAAAGTCTAAAATAGTTAAACACATTGTTGGTTATAAATACCTTACGCGCCCATCATTTTCTTTTAACTTTTCATAGATAATATCGCCTTTATCATCTAATACTTTCTGTTGGCTGAGATAGAACTTACGTTTCTTCAAATTTTCTTCCCGTTTTTGTTTAATTTGTGTGGATTTTTCGGGCGGGAGAGTAGATTGTCTACGCAACTCAAGCTGTTCAACATCATCGTCGTCGATATTAAGAACACTTTCTTTCTCGTGTGACTTTTTAACTTTGGAAGGAGATCCTTCGACCATTGATTTAGATAAGTCAATGATCTTCTCTTTTTTAAGATTTGGGTTTTCTTTGTAAGGTAACAAAACTTTTGCAGGGGATCTGTGAGACCACCTTGCGTATAACCTCAATGAAATACATAGCGGCGCCGGTGGCTGACGAATAATCTGTGTAATCAGTCTGTTAATATTTCTTGACATGTCAGTATATTTATATACAATAATTATTTTTATAAACAAGTTATCCAATGAACTAAAAGCTTGTTGCCAATATTTATTTTGGTTAACCCTTAATCAAGTTGAACACAAGACATTCACATATATGACATTGACACTATTGACTTGACAGTACAGATTTAACTGTTTGACACTTGGCATGCTTGTCAGGTTAGACGTTTAGTTTTTTCTGTAAAACTGGCTCAAATCAAGAGTCTTTAAAAAACTGCCAATTGAGGATAACTTTTAGATGCCAACAAGGGTTACAAGGGTTATTTTTATGACATTTTACGTATTTAAATTACGACTTTAAATATCTGAAAGGAATATATTTGAGTCTAATTGCAATACAACTAATTTGGAAAGTATTGGAATTAATAAAATGCTTATTGGAATCTCATTACTATTTATTCCAACAACATTCAGTTTTTCCAATGCGTTCTGGAAGTTCTAGAAAAGAAAAAAGTAAATAATTTTAAACCAAGTTTAAAGCACTCCGATTCGCACACGTGTACAAACTTTTTTGAAGTGAAAAGGTGTCCTAGTTAAAGTATAGTCTGTGGTAATACTGAAACCATTTTTTGGCCGAACAACATTGCTTCTTATCATTCGTCAATCGTCAGCTGAAAATAAATTTGCGAATGCGTATTTTGTGTTTATTTATAAATCAGTAAAGAAACACTAATCAAAATGGCAACAGGAGTAGCGCCTCGTGAGGAAGAGTCTCGACTTACTAGGGAAGATTTGGAAACAATACAAGACGCTATGAAGACTAAGAAATTTCGAGATCTCCTAGCGGATTATTGTGAAGAGATACGTGACCCGGCGAACATCGAACTTTATCAGAAAGAAATGACCCAACTGGAGAAGGAACGAGGTTACGATGTAACGTTTCTTAATCCAAAGGGAGGTTATGTTATCAAAACAAGTGTCGCCGGCGACAGAAAAGCTTTCATCAACATTTGTAGTAATGAGAACGTTGGGAAACCAACTTATAAAGTGGAAGTAGTTAATGGGAAGAGAGGAATGAACTGGCAAATACCATACTCATTAATTCCGCCGCGAGAAGATTTCGACCATAAGAGACAGCATTGCGTCATTTACGACGTAATTTTCCATCCGGACACTCTCCGCATGGCGGGCGTAAATAAAGAGTTCCGCGAGCTTGTAAACAAAACTGCCTTAGATGGTTTAATGAAAACTTACAACATTCACTTAGACAGTAACAATTTCCGGTTTCCCAAGTCTGAGTACAAGGGAGTCAGCACTGCTGCTGTCATCAGGAAAGAGGACCCTAACTATCAACCTCTGACTGAAGAAGAAACTGAAAGTTTGACACCTGAAATGATTGAGAAGCTGTATCCTCAACGCAACTATTCAGAGAATAAACAAGAACCAGAACCCCCAAAAGAAGCACCCAAACCAGTCAGGAAAACCAGGAAAAATAATGACTTTTCTCATGTCTCTGAAAATGGCTATACTGTTCCAAAGTATGTGATCAAACAGCAGAAAAATGTAGATCTTCAAGATTTCACCTACAATAAAGATTGTAAACAGTATAGTGCTATCCCAAGTCAGATAGTGGTGGAAGTATACCTTCCACTTTTGTCTTCTACCAAAGACTGCACTTTAGATGTTCAAGAAAAGCAGCTCTGCTTGATCTCAGAGAAACCAGCCAAATACAAACTTAATATTACATTACCTTATTCAGTGAATGATGAATGTGGTACTGCAAAATTTGATATAAGAAAACACCTGTTAATAGTGACTTTGCCAGTGATTAAAAGAAACATAAACATCAATAATGATAACTCTTTGAAAGTTGTGGACAGTGGAGTGGAAAGTGAAGAGAATTCAGGTTCTCAAAGTGATGAAGATAATTGTTCCAATTCAAATCTAATTGTAGAGTTGTCATCCTCCTCTGCTGATAATGTGGTACCATCAGAGCCCTGTACTGTCAACACCAGCACCCCTGAAGTATTTTTAGACCCATCTTTAGCCTACATACTGCCTCCTTATACTCATAATGTTTTGGATGACATTTTAGCCTTAACATTCCATGTAAAAAATACAGAGCCAGACTCTGTCAATGTTAAAAACAATGGTAATGAAATATGCATCAAGTTCACATCAGTTGGTGCTGGATTTGTGCCTGTGCATTACGCAGCCATCATTAATTTTGAAGAGGAAGTTAAATTTGAGAATGTGACTGGGGAGGCATGGGATAACAATGTCATATTACAGTTGGAACTGTCTGGGGCTGTGCCTCAGAAGTTCAACATTGGTTTAGACAAGGATTCTATGACCTGTGAAAGCTTTGATGTGACTCAGAAAACTGCTAAGGTTGATAAGAAGCCTGTAGGATCAGAGGCTGAAGTTGTTAGCCCTGTTGTCGAGGTAACTAACCTGGGAACTGAGACAAACATTGTGGTGTCATCTAATCACTTAGAGTATGATGAAGATGATGACTTTGAGTCCCCAACTTCAGAGTATAGAGATTCAGTGTTCATGGAGTCTGGCAGTTGTGAGAGTGGTGCTAAGAGCATACTTCGCAAGCCTAACATGATGCGCAGCTTCTCTGAATCCAGTGTCGGCGATGTTGCCTCCTCTATGGATTACATCAGTTCTGATTGCATCCCTGAAGAATCAAGTTTGAAAAAGACTGTTAGATTTAATGATGTTATAGCAAGACAATTTTACAGGTTGGTAGAAAATAATATTATTATGTTGATAGTCAGCCATATTCTTTTATCAATGTGGGTTATCAGGCTGAAATTCTGCCTTTTAATACCAAATCAATGATGATTACAAACACAATTTTTTGTTATTGTAATTATCTAAAGTACCTAAAATATTGGCATTGATGAAGATATATCATGTGTAAAAAAATATCTCGTTTTAGCTTATATCATAGGCCCTAGTTATCAGAACCATATCACATGTTATGGATATCCTTTGGAGTTAGATAAGATAATACCTACACATATACATATAACGCTAGTAACTAAGTAAACAACATAATTTTCCACAGAATGTAAGTTAATAACAGTATTTTTATTATTAATTTCAGGTACAATTCTTCTATAGAAGGCCAGAAAAAGAAGAATCAACGTAAAAAAAGTAAAAAGCGCAGTCAAGACAGGCGGAAGAGTGAAAGTGAAGCTGAAGATGAAATCAGTAACTCCTCTCAGGTAAATACAAAACAAAAAAATATAACTAAGGGCAAACCTAGTGCCATATACTGGGCCCAATTCCATATATCCTCAACTAACTAAAAGTCCATTAACACTGACCTACACGGAAATCGAACTCACGACCATACTCTTGGCAGTCGCGCATACAGCTACTCGTCAATTTTTTTAAATTTGCGAAACAATGTACAAGGCTTCTATTTATTCTTAGCGTCTAGCAGCGACCTCGTTCGCGTAAACATCGATTAGGTTTTTTTAGAACTTCTAGAGAAAAACATTCCAATAAGATTATTTTTTCTTGTACTCCGTAACGGTTTATGCACCGCACAACGAGACAGATGTCTTAAAAATGATGTCGCAGATCGTATATTTTTCCGGTTTAGTCATCATCTAAAATCGTTATAAATGATATTCTAGAGTAAAAGATAAAATCAATTCAACAGTTTTTGCGCAAAAAAACCGGCTAGTCATCCTAAAAAAATCATGTTTATAATTTATGATCTTTAATATTTTTTGCGAATAATAAACATTAGCACGTATTAGCGTCATTTTTTGTATATAAATCGACAAAAACGAATAGTGGTGTATAATATTATATTGTGTTATGTAAATAAAATAGGTACTTTACATAGGTATCATGTGTATCTACTTAGGTACAATTCCAACGATTTGTTTATTCAAATCGATTACTTAAGTCTTTATCACATGATCGGTAATTATTTGCTAATGTATGGAAATGTATACAGGTGTATGTTTTGTATTGATTTTACTAGGTAATGTTAATGAGTTCCGTTTTTGGGCTGTTGAAACAATATTATTGAAAAATATTCTTTACGATAACAGTACGGCTAATATCGATACATCAAAGATACATTCAGAAAAATGTTTAAATGCTGACGTAACATTTCCCTGTAAAAACATGACATACAACACGCATATCGGATTTCGTCTCGATTGCTATCATACTACAGTTTTATGCACACACGTTGCTGTTATGAATTCCGAAACATAATAAATCCTTCTCAACTGAATTGTTTGGCGATGATAGTCTTAAATTACAAGCATTACATTGTCTTTAAAAGGTGCAATAAATGACTTTTTTTAAAAAACAAACGTTGCCATACACATCACACCCAGACCCGAAACAACAATTTGTGGATCACACAAAGAGTTGTTCCATGAGGGAATGGAACCCGCGCCACGTTGTGCGGCCGGTTGCCTAGCCACCCCATCAACCGTGCAGTCAAAAATAGGTACATAATGTAAATCAAAGAACGTCCTTTTAAAAAATAATCTTATTTTTTCAGCCGAGATTGAAGTCAGTATTGAAACCTCGGCGCGACAGCGGTCTGGCGGACACATCCGACGCTGAATCTGAGTGCAAGAACACTCCGGACGATGGTGTCTTCAATTCTGCTAATGACGACGGCTTTAGTGAAAACAACAACGGAGAAGCATCATTCGATAATAATAAGTCTGTTTTCAACATAGTTGGCAACATTGAAAATGGAACCGACAAAATACAAGCCGACATTTGGGAGTCGGAGCCATCAAAACGTTCCTCAGGGAAGCGAGAAACACTTACTTGTGATAATATCCAACATAACACCAACCTCTATGATCCCGATAAGTTAAACAAAGGGAAATATTTAGAAGTTATGTTCAAAAATGATCTCATATTCGATTTGGACATGTGAGATTTGTAATCTCTACTTAAGAACCTTTCTAGAAAGGACATGTTTGGATTGGAATGTTTTAACTTACTATTAGAGCAGTGATTTATTAGAAATCCAGTGATTTTTGTTTGTCTAGATATACTTAGATATATAGTTTAGTATTACTTACATATTCCTTTACGTTTTAGATTTATTAATGTTCCTTCCATTGTGTATTTTCAGATTTGCTAAGTTTATGACAATGGTTTGTAGTTTACATATTTTGTATCCTATTCTTGTGTGTTCAAGGTTACAAATGTTGTCAATTGAGATAATTAAATTCGTTGTTTAGTTGAAAAATGTATAATTGGTATACAAACATTTTAATAAAATTTGGAACTTAGTAAATTTTGAAAATAATAATAAAGTAGAAGTAGCAATGTTCTGATATTGGACATATGTTAAATATACTGCTCATGTTAGACAATATTATAGTCAACTTGCATTTCATGGTACAAATTAGATTTACGACACCTCGTTGGTTAGGAGATAGGAATTGATTTTATATTGGGAATGAAGCCTACCTCTAGCCTAAGTTAGTACGTAACACTTGCACAGCGAATATGTAGTAGATTGCTAGGTATATACACAATGCAACTATGTTTTGATCACTTGATATGCGTGATTTATGGACGAATAAATGTGTCCACGAGTTATACACTTGGTTTAGTCGATAAATAACCTAGTTATATTTGACGCTTAACACAAACCAGTGCCTTTCGACCTCTAGTTATGGAAACCACCAGTGAAATAAATCCGTCGACTGTTGTCATAAACCATGCATTTTGTTTTACTTATTCAATAAGAATCTTGAGAAGTAATGTATGTGCAATTATGCGAGTTATGTTTGATGTAAAGTTTACAAATTATTTAACTATGAATGAATTGTGATTTGGTGAGTTTAGGTTTAATATATGAATTGATTCAAAAATCGATGCTTGTTTTATTTTTTGTAATCCGAGCGGTAATGAATTTGAACTCCATTCTAGAGACGTTTGTTCCACTCGCAATGCGGTTTATGCTTGAATCCAATCACATGTTAAGAGTCAATTTCAGAAACATGAAAAATAATTAAGATGGTCCTCAAATTATAAGCATGTATATAAAATTGCAAATGTTTGATAACACTTGATAAGTTCAAGTAACATGTGTGTTACGTACCCACATGCAATTTGTATAGTACATAATTCTCAAAACTTTTAAGAAGATAGAACTTAGTTTTATCTGCTGCAGTGTTACATTGTACAGTAACATTAACCGTAATGTGCACCCCTGCCTATTACTTCGGGGATAAAAGGCGTGATGTTATGCTATATCATCTTGTTACTCGGTGATTTATATTCGCCCTTGCTGTCAGTGCCATCTGGCGGATTATAGGATAGTTATAGTGGTCATGGCCGTATCGTGTCCGAAAGGCCTGTATTTAATTATGGCTATTTTTCTCCTGCGATGATGAGATGGGAGTGGAGAAATGTGGTTATTATAAGACCCTATTCTTTGCAAGCCACTTAAACCGATATATTGTAAGATTTATATAACCTTACTATTTAATAAGAGTACCTACCTAACTATTTCTTACGGACACTAAACTACAGAATTTATGATATGTTGGCAGCCTAAAGGCTTATCGTCCACTTAAGTTGAATTATTCCTTCAATGATCTTAAATTATGATCCTTTAAAAACTTACATCTCTTGAAAATTGTCCGACGATAAAATTGGTTCATTTTGCCTATAGAAGCTGAGTCACATGTCACTTGATAGTTCAACAAGAATCGAGAGACTACTTATTGGAAAAAGTTGAGCGCTAAAACTTTTCCGTTGAGTCCTACCTCTTTCGTTATACGTGCATATAGTGACTACTACATATTATAATGTGTGTGTGTGGGCTGGTTCTTGTAGTCGAATGTCTACTCGAGCAAAAGTCAAGCGGCATTTTAGCGTGGAGTCACGAGTAGACAAGTGATTCAAGCTATTAAGCTATTGCTAATGCGCAACATATTGCGTTTAGCATTTACGTATAAGGGTACATTGTTTGAGTTCTTACATAAAAATGTTGACGACGACGGTTTATCATAGGAACCTAAGATACTTCTTGACGTTCTATTTAGTTTTTCAGGACAAAACTCATTTTTTTTGTACCTCTATAAGCAATGATAGATATTCTTTAACAGATATCATACCTACTAGTTTCTGCATAATATTTATGCTATCCGTTCCTCACAACCGCTCTAAATAAAAAAATATTTGAATTGAACTATATAAATTCAATTCAAATATTCTCTCTAAGGTATTTCCACCAATTTAATGTAAACAGACTTCAAGCACTTGAGCCGTAAACTCTAGCAACTAAATACAGATCTCATAATGATACGACTGCAAACTTCGGATACGACACTTCTCTGAACTTCATTTTAACTTAGCCTAGATTATTTTATCTTAGCAAACGTATATCATTTACTTAAGTACGTAGTTGAAAAGGCTCTGAAATTGTCTAATTTACATAATGTTTCTTAGAATCTTAGGAAACATAATTTGTATGTATGTAGAAGTAGGAGTAACAGTTCTAATGTTACAATTAGGAATAGAAATAATTATATTCATATCTACCCAACCTTTGAATTCTTATGACTAGTTACTGAACTTCATTTCTTTTAAAACATAAAAACACCCACTGCATTGCATTTACTACTGCGTAGCAAATGTCAACATAGGCAAGCTACAGGCTACGGACCTACGGGTGTCGTAGCAATTAGAGAATTAGATTACGGCTACTCTTTGCCTACGCATCAATTTGCAGGCTTCTCCAACTTTCATAATACGGAGTATTTATAAATGGTGCTACGTCGTAGTAAGGGCATTTGCTACGAGACTGCGTAGGACTTACACTGCACACCTACGCTACTACGGCTACGTCGTAGCAAATGACGAAGTTTAAGTTACGTTACGGAACGATGACTATCTAAGTATAGTATGTAACTTTGTATTGATATGTATTTTTGGCACTTATTCTACATTCTTTGAATGTTTTAAGCAATTGAAAAACGAAATGATTTGCAAACAACTATGCGTAGGTAAAGGAGAGATAGAATTTTACATAATTATTATAAGCAACAAAGGTAGACTTTCTGATGAATGCCTGTGGCGTTAAGTCGGCCTATGCATTGCATGTTCATTGTCATATTCTTGACACATTAAATCTATACATGCTGATAAAAAAATTAGAGGGTCTGTTTGTAATATTAAACTAACCACTTTTTACTACACGTATATTAATATACAAACGATACATACCAAAATAACATTTGTTACAACTTTTGTCGGTCTGTCTGTTTGTACACTGGCTAATATCTGGAATGGCTGGACCAATTTTACAAGACTTATTGGCAGGTAGCTGGTGAACTAAGGAGTAACAAAGGCTACTTTTATTTTGGAAAATTGAAACAAAAAAAGGTTTTGTTCTAAAACAACTATTCTAAGCGGACGAAGTCACGGGCAGCAAATAGTAATTAAATAAACCATTGGTAATATTATTAATGTATAATCTTGCTACCCATAACACAAAAGAAGTAGCTATTCTGTGAGTAGGTATTTCGCTTACTTATAAAAGGTTTAATTTGTTAGAATAACACAAACATTGCCCACAAAACGTTGTTTTGTTTTTACGAAGTTTGAACATTAGTGGATTAAATGGATCTACCCAATTACTTTGGATCTTGAATCAAATCAAAAGTAGCAGGGAGTTGTGTGCTTGTAATTTCCTTTTATGTATGGAATGTATGTATTGAAAAAGTTCTTAACCTATTACATGTATGTAAGCACTTAAAGCTAATTAGGTAATTTCTTGTTCAATACAAGAAATTACCTAATTAGCTTTAAGTGCTTACATATACATTTTAGGTAAAATTGCATATACACTTTTCACATGATAAATAACGATAAAAAGAAAATAAGAAAGTTATTCAAAAAATGATAATTTAGTTTTATTTTACAGCATAATTTACAGCGACATTAATGAGCGAACATTTAAGTATGAAGCACGTTTTATTAAAGAAATATTTCAAGTAACTAATAAAAGAAAACACGGCAAATAAATACTTAATTAATATAGCGGCCATTTGTATGCAGGCAAGTGATGGTGAAAAATTTTAATTAACTAAATATACGGTTTAATATTGAATAATTTGTCTGAGAAACCAATTAACTAAGACTAATTACGTACGGGGACGGTACGAGGTTGTGAAGCCCGTCTTGTTGATTTTCGAGTTTCCTCTGTTGTTTCTGGTGATTGGTGATTATTGCACAAACTCCCACCGTTTCGCATTTGTGGTAAGCAAACTTCTATTTTCTCATTAAAGAGGGATTGTGACGTGGCTGTTCTGGCCCGGGGAAATGGTAAATTGTTTTTTTTTTGTTGCAAAATTGTTACGGAAAATGACGTGGAATTTTGTTTACAGAGAGCGTAGATAATGGCAATGATATATAATAATTCGTGGTAGATAGATAATAGGTACTAATATAGATACAAAAACATGTTTTTCTTTCCAAGTTAAAGTATAACAAAGTCTACAAACTTTTCTTAGTGATTACATCTAAAATTAGCTTCATTCATCTAAGTATCTCACTAACCTACAATTAAGTTTGTATGAAGAAAGGAACAACTTCTCACCCGTATTGTAAGCAAAACACCGAGAGGTATCGATGTGTAAATTGTTTACACTTTGGAGCAAGTTTATGATGATGAGAATGAAACTTTTGGTGCTTATTTCTAAGCAAGTAACTCTAGTAATACAGTTCGCCAATTTTCCATTTCTTCACGGATAATACCTGTCTTGTGAGCGAAAGTATCTGATAGATATCAACTTGAATGAGATGTTCAACTAACTTTGAAGATCAAAGGTACTCTGCAACTTTGCTCAAAAATATTGCTGTCTACTCGTTCTAAAGGTTGTTGAAACGATCTCAAAAATGTAATTTCCGAAC